ATTGTTCAGCTGCCTGTCAAATGCCTCAAAATGTCTAGAAAATGGCGAATAATAATGTATTTGCTTGGTAATTGTGTCAGATTGTGGGGATAGCAATAAGCAATATGACAAAAATTTGTTTTGGGCACCCCTGGGCAGCATTTCCGTTTCGCGGCAATTTGGGTTGTCCTTCATGTTCACTTTGTCTTTGGTTTACTCCGTTGCATCGTGTTGCCTTGAACTTCAGCGTACAGAGACAGAAATTCGACATCAATTCGCAATGTCATCGTTTGCAAAGGCAATTAGTAATGATATTTTAACAATATCAAACTGTACAAGCTGCTTAACCATATCAACTTCATATAATTTGGCTTCTTGCGGTACCACAGATTACTCTATCACCAATTTTATCATTTCCATGTTCTTTTCTCTCCGTGTGCAACTGGGGGGACCTCCAATTAGGCTGCTTAACGAACCAAACCCAAAGTCAAACCGAAACGAATCGAAACGAAACGGCGCAAAGTTAAGCAAAGTGTAGTGAAGTCAACTGAACTCAACTCAACTCAAACCGAGCTTAAACACAACTCTGTTGCTTCTTGCTTGGTGACGATGGTTATGGAGATGATGGTGATGGCCGAAATGGTGGCGTAAATTCGAGCTGTGACATTATAAATTCTGTATGCCATATATATATTATATATTGTACGCGGTCTCTGCGTTTTACGAGCGACAATTTCGCCAAAGGAGCGAAACTGCTCTATAAGGCCGTGGCTCCATGACTCGCCGGCTTTTGACTGTGTGTGAATGGGGCCCATTAAAAGTTAAATTTAATGTATTAATTTATTTTCTGTTTGCCCGCCAGTGTTGCTTTTTGTCCACTCTTGTGTGTGCTGTGTGTTGTTTGTGCTTTTTTTTTTTGGCAACGCTGTTTGTTGTTTTTATTAATCGACTGCGGAAGTTGCTGTAAATGTCCACAAACATGAGAATATTCATAATGCGTTTGGCCGGGCCTTGAACAAAGAGCCCCTCCCCCTCCCCCTCCTGTGCCATTTTGGGGCACCTCCAGTGACGTCAGTGGGGAGGATGAGGGAGCCACGGGACTCTCGCTTTTAGTTAATTACTGGAGATATTATTGTAGTGTAGAAGTAATTACTTTGCTGGTGGCTCCCGTGGGAGTGGAATGAGCCCCGAGCATGCGACTTTGGTTGAGTAGGTCATGCGTGGTGAGTGGTAACCACTTGTTAGATGGAGTTAGATGTGGCACTTTGGGTGAGGTAGGTCCATAAAACCATAAAACACCAGGCCCAACATCAGAGCAGGCTTAAGACCCAGCCTCGAATCGGACTTAAAACCAGCTGGCCCAGCACTTCAGTCTGTCTGCTCATACAATTATCGGATCCGCTGGGTTATAATTGGTTTATCATGGATGTCGGGCGGGCCGCCTTGTTGGCCCGGCATTGATCTAGGCCCGTGTGCCCAAGGTGAACAACAGAAAACTGATCCGCCAAGAACATTGAACTGCAGCTGAAAATCTTATTTACTTATTTACAGATCGACTGCGACTGAAACGCAGCGTTTCAGCTGAAAAACAGCAGTCGAGTGGTTTATCCCATTTCAGACTTTCAGACACTCCGACGATTGTAATTTAAAACACCTTTAAACACAGACGTTTCAATAACGCGGCGATTTTATTGCCAGCAATAACAAGGAAAACAAAAACGGGGAAGAGGTTTTCATCAGCAAAAGTCAGCAAAACATTCAACTTTATCACGTGTCAAATTTGTTAATAGGAAAAAGTGTTTATGTGGGACAAGTTCCATTTCAAAGTCAGGAGCAGAAACAATGAAGTATTCGGTGCTAGAGGTAATTACAACATTTTGCTGACTTAAAAATTATATGGTATTTTAGATTAATGCACGTATTTGCGCCAAAATGCCGCAACAACTTATGTTACGAATTGAAAGCAAACTTACGTGAATAACTTATGGCCAGTAGCAGAAATGTATAATTAAGTGTTTGGGTGCAACAGGAAATTGCAAAACACCAAGTTTATTAGTAATGCTATATCAGAAAGAGCTGAAATAGGCGAGGAACTTTCATTTAGTAAAGCTGAATTCACAACCAACATGTTGTCGCCTTCTTCTTTTCTATTTGGGCTTGGATTGTTGACACTTGTCTGCGTAAACTGATGGTCCAGCAAATAGAAGACAGTGCTCAGAAAAATAGTTAAATAATAATTAATTCTTGTGACCAGAAAGTCGAAAAAAAATAAATCAAGAATCTGAGTCTAATCAAGTTGACTTGGCAGTTTATGGAAGGTATATATGGAGTAGTTGAGAATGAATTGATTATGAACTAGAATACATTATCGTTGTGATTCTATTATGTAGACATTAGTCGAACTAGACGTTTTCGCGTGAATTGTATAAAACCAGATCTGATCCCTGGATAAAGAGCAATAAAACCCGATGAAACAAATCTAGGCTATTAAATGACCTTGTTCATTAATAAGCCCCATAACATGTGAAGCTTGCGAAATCGTTCTCTCGAGCTAATAAAAGTGCCACCAAGATCGAGGACGAGTGTCTTTTTTCAGTGTATAATAGAGAGGGAATTGGGAGTGCAGTGGTGAAGCGACCTATGCAAATATGCAAACAAAAGTCGTAAACTAACAGCAACAAATGGCCGGTAGAATGGGATTCTGTGTGCGGTCTGTGCCTCCACTTCTGACCCCTTCCCCCTTCCCCGGTCATGTCAAAGGGAATCTGTTGTTGCAACTGTCATTGAACTTTGTGGACAACCGATTGCGGGCTTTTGAGGGAAAAGGGCAGCCGTGGGGGTTACTAGAAGCCACCTCCTCTCACTCTGTGTACTCCACATTCCGTTTCCCGTATGTATTTATGTACACATCTGTCCATAAATCAACGCTAGCCAAGCGGGGCGACATGTGCATTGTTGAATGGAACTGGAACTGGAACTCTCTAACCTCGTTTTAACCTTCCCCATATCCACATGCACATCCACATCCATATCCATATCCATATCCATTCCATGTCATCATCAGCAGCCACTGCCCTTCTCGGTGCGTTGAGCAGCTGACACTGATGGCGGATCATCACGAGTCCCGGGTGGAGTTCACTTGAGTAAAGTGCCAATTACCTAAAAAGAAAAATAAAAACTAAAACAACAACAGAAACCAAAATCGAAAACAAAAGCAAAAAACCTTTTCGAGCCACGCAATGACTCATTCAGTGGAGCGTTGAAAAGGCCATAAAGTAGAGGCAACTCCATCGGCAGAAAGTAACCGAAATGACCAGTAAGACATCGGCGGTTGTCAGCGATGTCACATATCATACCCAGTTGCTCCGGATGGTAGGCGATGGGATTGAGTGGATGTGTCGGAACCTGGAAGTCTTGAAAGACTTGATCAAACATTAAAACACTACACAAACATAAAACACAAAGCACAACACTAGTTTCTACGGTAATAAAACAGTGTTTTACCAAAGTGAGTGTGTAACCCAACCCATAGGGCATCATTATTTAAGGTCTTGTATCATACATACAAACGGCTAAGTCAGTAAATACTATGTATTATAATAACATATCAAACAGATTTTTAAGAAAAAAGTTGCAACCTAACAATTTTGTATATATATTTGGTGGTTCCATTCAAATCCGTCATCACCACAAGTCGTTCCACCTCTTCCGTCTTTCTCTTCCCCCTTTCTTTCCCCTTTCTCTTGGCCAACTGCCAGCCATTGTGATTGTTTTTGCCTTTGCCCCCAGCTGTTAACGACCCCCTTCCTCCGTTCTGAGCCGCTTTAATACGTGACTTATGCCCTGGTAAATTACTTAACACTCGCCAGTCGTCGACCAGCTTCAACTGCATTATATCGACAGTACGGATTCGGCATGAGAAACATCAGTAACAAGCAATAAAAACAGTACTAATACTAGACTATATCGCCAATGGCCACGACTGCTGCTGGAGAAACGCCAAAAGTACTGGACTAGGACCGAGGAAAGTCGGCTTTGCTTTTCAATGCCGAGCGTCAGCAGTGTTAGCCAAATGCACAGCAAAAAAATAGTACCTAGATATAAAATGAGTTGAATTAGCTTGTAGATATTGAGTTATCAAAGGTACAATTGACAACTGTTATGGAACTCTCAAAGAAAGTCCATACCTTTTGAAGGTTCATTGTAACAGAATTTGTAATATTTTAATAACGCTCATTTGATTTTCTTACAATCACACTGTTGGTCAAGTAATTTTTGTTTTTTCGCCTGCATGAATAAATATTTTTGCGATATAAATATCGTGTATGCTTCAGCATTTCGTTTCGCTGGAATCTGTTCGAAACTGAAACAAAATACTGATGTGTGTTCAGTATCAGTTTTTCTCCAGGTGTGATTGGTGTTGGCGGCGGGAAGTCGTTGTCGTCCAAAGTAAAATGTGTAACGTGTTTGAAGCGACAGAAGGCGACAGAGGAAACGGCTGGGCCAGCCAGCTGCATTGGCAACCGAGTTCAGACTTTTGACTACCGACAATCGCCAATCTCTAATCGGAAAATCGTCGTTCAGCAGCGGACGCTCCGATGCGGCACGTTTCTCACCAGCAGCCACAATGGCAAACAAGATGGGGAGCCCTACTGATAATACTTGGGTATTTCTGGGTCTCGTTATAAAGTCAGCGTTCCCCAAGTATAATTATCATCTGGCGCACTTTAAATTTGAGCTCTGGAAACTCCACGTCGCATAGAATCGGTTCAGGCAGGTTTTACATATCTGCTTCGTTTTGTACTTTAGTTTGGCCAATGTTTTTGTGTCGGAACTGATTGAAATGACCGGAAGGGTTTTTATGGCAGTTCGATTCAGATTTGGAAATGGAATTTCATGTTACAGAAACTTATATAGATACTTATGCAAATAAGATACTTATATGCAAAGAAAAGCATGTTGAATACACTTTTACTTATACCGTAATGCTAATCGAGCCTTGTCGCTTTCCGCCTTTCCAGATCAACCTAAGGGGCATCTTGGTTGGCGGCGCTGCCAGCGGCGCAGGAGTAGCAGCAGCAGCGGCTGGCGGTGCGACGACGACGACCGTCGCCGGCTTCGCGGCTGGTGGGGATTGCCCTGTGATCGGCGCCGGTGCTGGCGCTGGCGTCAAGCTGCGCAGGCACAGCGATCGTCCCCTTACGCCGGAGGCCAAGCAGCTCTCCCACACATACCGCATTTCGATGGCTAACCTGGAGGATTCGCAGGAATCGGAGCTGGACCAGATCCTGGGCGAGCTGAGTCTGCTGGAGGCGCAAATCAGCTACACCGAGGCGTCAATGCTGCCCGCCATGTGTGCTCCAAGTGCCGGCGTACAGATAGCACCGCCACCTGGAGTGGCCCAGCTGCCAGGCAGTGCTCCGTCGATGGTCTCCATGTCGGCAGCATCCTCGCGCTCCCACTCACGCACCAACAGCACAATCTCAGCGGACGTGAGCAGCTGCTCGTCGTCCGGGATCTCGGAGAATGGACACGGACTAGGACTTGGCGGGCCTGGGTCGGCCGGAATGATGGTGCAGCCACCGCCACCGGGCGGCATGACCATGGGAATAACGCTGGGCGTTGTCACACCCCGGGAACCGCGCACTGAGTCGCCAGACAATGACTCCGCTTTCAGCGACACGGTTTCGCTGCTGTCCAGTGAGTCGTCGGCCTCCTCAAACACATCCCTGCAGCAGCAGCAGCAACAGCAGCAGCAAAAGCAACAGCTCGCCGGCGCGGAGAAACTACTCCACGGCGTTCATGGCCAGCACGGTGGCCAGCAGAGTGGCGCTAACAACATCACGAAGGCGGACAAGATCCAGTTGGCACTGCATAAGCTGGAAAGCGCCCCCATTCGGCGTCTGTTTGTCAAGGCCTTCACCTCCGACGGTGCATCCAAGTCGCTGTTGGTGGATGAGCGCATGGGCTGCGGCCATGTAACACGCCTTTTGGCCGATAAAAACCACGTGCAAATGCAGTCCAACTGGGCGTTGGTCGAGCATTTGGGCGATCTGCAGATGGGTGAGTGCTTTTGACTATGCGCTGTGGATCAAAGTGCATTTTATTGGCTTTAAGTAAGTGGCCAATGAAATGTTTCCTTTGATCCGTGATCTCAATAAAAAAAAAAAATGAAATACTAACGTATCGCTCTCCCCACAGAACGCCTCTTTGAGGACCACGAGCTGCTGGTGGACAACCTGATAACGTGGCACTCCGACGCCGGCAATCGAGTGCTCTTTCAACAGCGACCGGACAAGGTGACGCTGTTCCTGCGGCCGGAGCTCTACTTACCCGGACCCCAAATGGCGCCCGGATGCCAGCACGACGAGCAAACGCGGCAGATGCTGCTGGACGAGTTCTTCGATTCGCACAACCAGCTGCAGATGGACGGACCGCTTTACATGAAGGCGGACCCGAAGAAGGGCTGGAAGCGATATCACTTCGTGTTGCGCTCCTCAGGCCTCTATTACTTCCCCAAGGAGAAGACCAAGAACACGCGCGACCTGGCATGCCTAAATCTATTTCACGGCCACAACGTGTACACTGGATTGGGCTGGCGCAAGAAGTGGAAGTCCCCGACTGACTACACCTTCGGCTTCAAGGCGGTGGCGGACTCAACGCTGGGCAAGTCGTGCCGCTCCCTCAAGATGCTCTGCGCCGAGGACCTACCGACGCTGGACCGCTGGCTGACGGCCATCCGTGTCTGCAAGTACGGCAAGCAGCTGTGGGACAGTCACAAATCGCTGCTCGAGGATCTCTGCCTGAGCCGCGACGATGCCGTCTCTCAGTCGAGCTTTGCCGTATCCATGCGCAGCGAGTCCATCTCGAGCATCTCCTCGGCGGTTCCGTCACAGTGCGGCAGCGTTTCCTCGGCCATCAGCAGCATGTCCAATTCGACTAGCGGCCGCACATCGCGTGCCTCCAGCAGCAGCTCCAGTGGCTGCCTCTCGGACGACAACAACGCTTTCGACTCCGAGTTCACCACTGGCACCATTAAGCGCAAGCCCTCGATGAAGCCCAATCTCCCGCTGACCACGATGACACGCCAGCTGAAAGAGGTGGGCGAGATCACCATATGCGAGAGCGCAGGTGGCGATGCCAGTTCCCCGGAGCGCAGTGGTACTCTAACGCGTCGCCACAGTCGTCGCAAATCGCAGGAGAGCAACGGCAGTGGCACGCTTAAGCGCCGCCCTATTGCCGTGCCGGTGGCCACTGTCGTCAAGCAGACGGAGCCAATGGGCAGTGCCTCGTCCACCTCGTCCAGCAGCAACTCTACGCCGACGCCCACACCTAGCATATGCGCCAAACCGCCGCCAGGCGATTCGGCCTCGCTGATGTGTTCGTCTACGCTGTCTTTGGATTCGCTGCCCCCGCCCCCTCCGCCACCCGCTTTAGATGGGTCAGAGGACCAGGATGTGTACGGGTCACAGCTGTCGCTGGCCTCACTGCCACCACCGCCTCCGCCCGAGGATGTACTGGCCATGAGCTATGCAGAACCCTCCAGTCCGTCTACTCCCACACCAATGAGCACTCCAATGATAATGCCCAACAGCAACGGGTCGTTGCCCCCGGCAGTGCCGGCCAAGCCCATGAAGCCAGCAGTGAAGCAGGCGGCGGGCGGTCTCAAGGCCGCGCCACCATACAAAGCGCCGCCGGATTATGTGGGTCCCGCCCTGCTGCCCGGACCGCCTTTGCCGCCGCCGCCTCCCGCCCAGAAAAAGGTCTCGTTTGCAGACTCTCCGGTGCTGTTGCGTCGCAAGATGTGCTCACCGGAACCTGTGCTGCCCCAGCGATCGCCCAGCACCACGCTCAGCTGTCATTCCAGCTCCAGCGCGGGATCGGCCTACCAGACCTATGCCCCCGGGCCTATGCTGCCACCGCGTGCGGATGTGGCGCGCCTGTCTAGCCTGAGCAATGGCAGCAGCAGCGAGGTGACCTCGCCAAAGCGCCTGCAGGAGTCGGCCTCGAATCCGCCCCGCGACTTCCTAAAGGATCTGCAGCGCGTGATGCGCAAGAAATGGCAGGTGGCGCAAAAGTGCAAGGCGGAGCCAGCAACGACGCCGCATGAGGTCCTGGGCTTCCGGGACTTTAGCAACGAGGACCTTCTGGCCGCCCACAATCTCAACTCCGGTGCCAACTCCTCGCACTACTACCGCGAGACGGCCAACGTGAGCCACTGGGTGAGGAAGCACTACGAGTATGCCCACAACGCACTCTACGAGAACGTGCACGCGCAGGCGGCGGCGGGAGTGCCCAGTGGAGAAGCCACCACGCCTCCACTCCCACCTCCACCTAGTAATTCAATGGCAGCTAAAAAACGTCCGCCGCCGCCGCCTCCGAAGCGGAGCGATAAGACGCACCTGACCAATCGGGTGTAATGGCATCTGAGTAAGTCACGCGTTGTAATGAATCCACATTCACCAAGGTGGATAATTCACGTTGACTATAAGACATTTGCGAACCAAGACTCATTTGTTTATTTTTCAGGTGAACCCGCTCACTTACTGAGATCCTCGTTCTAAAAAGGATGGATTTTCGTGCATGATCACAGTTTCTAAAAGAAAGCAGAGAAAAGAATCTTACAAATTCCTATTTAAGTCTAGGCGACAGCAGAGCGAGATGGAAAACCACTAATTAAAACCTACATATATATTTTCTAAGAATATGCTATGGCCACGCCCTTTTCTCTTACAAAAGTATTACACATAATAGAGAATCAAACTGTTGAACTTCTTCGCAGTTCGGAGTCAAATCACGTCAAAAGTGTCAACAGGAAAGATTTTAAAATTTCTGCTAGAAGCCAAAAACGTCCAAAAAGGACCTTCTTGCTGTTAATCGCATATTTAAATTCAAGATGTGTCTTTTATCTTTTTTAAAATTAGTCTAAGGAATATTTTATCAAAAGTTTCAAGTATCTCCATTACATATTTTTTTTGTTAGCGCTGTTGACTTGGTTTGATTCATTATACATACTTATATATTTTCATTTTGAAAATCGAAAAAAAAATCTGCGGTACTCACCAGCAAAATTAAATGCAAAATGCAAAAAAGGAATTCTGGCATTAGCAAAAATATTTAAAATACATTTTAGTTTGTAAAAAGAAGAAATGCATTTTAGAAACGATAGTGCATTATTTAAGCAACACTAAATTAGCGCTAGATAAGTGTACAATATTTTTATATATACATGCACTCTTTTAATTGTTTAGTTGCTCGTAGTATTGATTTTATATATTTTTTTTGCGATAATCTTTGTAACGGTAGAGTGAACGTTTTGTAAGCGCATGAAATGCGCTGCGCTAGCAAAAGGAAATGCCTTATAAAGCATATAAACCTAAAAAGGGGAAGCCCTGCATAAACACCTAATATACATAAATACACACATATGTATATGTGTTGATCTATCCAAATGATTTGCTGTTTAAAGCGATACTATTCTCCTTTTCGAAATTTGTAATACCACTTTGATTGTTCAATTTAAGAAACCAAATGCTTAGTTTCAAAAAGATTTGTCAAGTTCCTCAATAGTGTTAATGTTGTATTTCTCTTTGTGCTTAGAAAACAACGCAGATAAAGGATAAAGCAGACAGATCAGCCATAAAATACAATTTATATGTGCAAATCAAACTATTTATATTGAAGGCAATAAGAGAAAATGGAACTATTTCTGTACACAAATCAAATATGTATTCATATAGTAATTGTAATTGTAATAATATATATAAATTAATATTTGGCTACATTTCGTTTGCGAATCTTGTTTCTCAACATATAATTTTTGAAGCGTTCCTATAGGTTCAATTTTTATATGAAAATATTAACAACGTTCGCCGAAGCTTAATGGCTTTTGATTCTATATAATCGATGCAATGGTCGAACAAGTTTGTTTAGCGATTCTGTATTGATTGTAATTTGTAATTGTTTTTGTGTAGTAACTCGTTTGCCATTTGTTTTGTGTGTATGTTTGTGTACAGCCAGAAACAGCCATATATATTCATAAAAATATAGGCCCATATATGTACGTGCATGTACGCATTTGTGTCTGGTACGCCAAGAATATCAGCTTAAGTGTCGTTGCTGCATTTATTGCAGCATGTAGGCAAGTCTGTATGATTCTATATGAAGTTTTGTTACGTTTATACCGGCTTGTGTGCTGCGATCAATTAGTGATCGAATCCATTGACTAAACTTCAACTTCGCCTTCTCTATCCAGCCATCCTAAAAGTGTTCGGACTCCAGTCCCCAGATACCCTGCATCAGCTAGATAAGCCTGCTTTTGTTGCCCATCCTGTGTCACCATCCCTACATGAATATATGAAACGTTCGTATTTGAATACAAGAATCTTACTTGGGTTTATTATGGTGAAATTGCATTTTACTTTCCTACGTATACAACACTAAAGGGTATTATGCATATAGATCTAGATATAAACATACTTAAATAAAGGAAATGCCAATTTTTTAAAGCTTGAATTTATATGAACATATTTTTTAGAAACTATACGCTGTATGTATATCTATATATATAAATATATGTATATAGACATACATATACATATATATATATATATATATATACATATATATATGATAGGAACACAAGGATGTGCCATAGGCGCCGTCGTCGTGTCGAAACAAAAAAGGGAATGGAAAACCTGCAACGTTTTTTTGCTAAGGAATGTATTGAAATCTAACAGAACCTAGTCATTAAGTCCACTATAACAGAAAGTACATTAAACGCTAAATAAATTTATATAAAATGACACGCATATACAGAAGAAGGTTAAATCTAGAAACTTACTCGATGCTTTAGCTACAGAAAGCATTTTAAACCATTTTTGTTTGCCATTTAACATATCATTTGTATTCTTTTCTTTCCGTTTATTTGCTTACACATTTCGAACTCAATGTATAAACAATTAAGTAATGAAGTGAAATAAATCAAGGTTCAACTAAAAGAACAAAAATCAAACGCAGAACAGAATCCTAATTATGCTAAATAAGGAAAACAGGAAACTCATATTGCAGCCCAAACTAAAACTAAATGAAAAGACTACTTACTCACTCACTGGAGGTGGCCAGAATAAGTATGTTTATTACTATATCGCCGACACATTCAGACATCATTCATATGCATTAACTACAAATTTACAAATACAGCAACGGAAAACTACGACATCTAACTAAAGAAATCAAAGGAAAATTCAATCTAATAAGTAAAAACCAGAAATTCTTTGCAGGGCTATTATATAGTGAACAATGTTGCCATTTGATACCACTTTTTTCCACAAATCAAACACATTTGATATGAAAATATATATTACTATATATACCTTATATTCCGCATCAAATGGAATTTTTTGTAATTTTGATAGAAACATTCAAAACATAATTAAAACGAAAGCGAGCAACACAAACTGTGCGAATGAAACGTGTTACGGAAACTATGAAAAATAAATGCGAGAAATGCCTAAGAAAAGTTTGAACTTAATTGTGGTGCTATTTTATTTGTTGGATGGTGTAAGGACTCAATTGGATTTGACTTTGGTCGCTGGTAAGTTCATGTGCTACTACTTCAAATTAGGCAGCACTTTAATTAATACGTAATCATTATAATAATAGGAATCGTATATTTGGATTCTATTTTACCTTTTAACATGGCTCAGATTTTGCACATATTTTTTAAAGGTTTATATTTTATTTAAATTGAAAAGTAAAGTGAAACTTCATTTTGCGAAGGTAAATTAAAAGGCTAATAATCTCTATCATTTAAATTGTTCGAATCTTCAGTTTCGAAGAATTGCGCAATTCAAAAACTGGTCTAATCTGATAGCTGAGAAGAAAAGTCGGGTCTCTATTCAAGATTCATACTATAGCTATTAGTAATACGTAATAGAAAACTCATTAGATATGAAAAGTTTTTACCATGCTTAATGTTTAAATAAGACCAAAACAAATAACGAAATCAAGATGCGATATCCTGTTGTGCTTATGCATACTTCACTGTACCTATTCCCAGCACACACCCCCTTTCAAGTTGAAGGGAACAAGCGAAGCTTTGCAAATTTACGCAACCAAACTGACCAGGATCGCCGCTTCGAAGGATGTGGGCCTGCGCTGCCCCAAACGTCTGCGTCGACGTTGGCAGCGACAGAGGCAGAGACAGCGGCTGCGGCCTCAGTCGACATAATTTTCAGTTTCCTTGCCGCATTTTGTGGGGCTTTTTGGGCGTTTTTTGCGAGCTTTCTTCTTTGGGAGTGGGGCACGCACTGGCTGCCCACTGGCCAAGCAAAAGTAAGAAGAAGACGAAGATGCAGAGAAAGGGTTGCTCTGCGTGTGTGTGTGTGTGTGCGTGCGTGTGTGCGGACCTTTGCTCGGCAGGCATTTTATTTATGCTGCGTAGTCGCTTCCTTATAGCACCCACCCTCCTCTTCAGCCTACCGTTGCTTATGCCCGTTAGACGGACATTACAGGGTATATATTTTATTATGCCAAAAGTTATGCAACTGGGATAGGGTAGCGTCCAGTTGACAGCCTGCAGATCCGGATTTACATAAAGATTTAGAATATTATTACAAATATATGCAACTTTAAAAAAGGGTTTCGAAAACCCAATAGAATTTTTGTTATATTTCTAAGTAATCATATACTTGCATGATTCCAATAGATTTAGCAACATATGTGATTCTGGCGGGTATCGGATAGTCGTTACCTTCTCTCCTGTTTAAATTGGCAAGTGCCGGTGGGCGGAACGGCACCACCCCTGACCACTGCCTCCTGGCCGTCCTGGTCCTTCCCCATCCACATCCTCATCAACGTGTTCGTTGCTCCGAGCTGCGAACCCTTCAACCCGTTCGTGCGTTTGCTGTCCAGCTGGAAATTCAGCTCCAGCTTCCTTTGTGGGCGCTTTTAGGCGGGTTTTGGGTGATTTTGGGTGGGTTTTGGGTGGTTTCCGAGTTGGGTGGTGGCTTCTGATGGTGGCCAGTAGGTGGGCTTAATTTAAGCGGGTTTTATTTTTTCTCAATTCCTCTCCCCGTGCGCTCTCTTTTTTACATGCCTGTCGCTTCTCCGCCTATTTTTTGTGTTTTTTATTTGATTTTGCTTCGCATTTTTACTTTTTTTCGGGGTGGCTCTCTTTGTGTTTGTGTGTGTGTTAATCTCGTTATGTTGTCTTTTGTTTGAAATGCCCGCTGCTGCAGCGCTGCCGCGTCGCAGTTGACGTAGTCGCTGTAACTCTTTCGTTTTTTATTTTTCTATACAATCTGATATACATATTTATAATGTAAGATTGTTGTATTTACTCTTTCCGTCCTCGTCCAAGTTAAACAATTTTAATTGAATTTTGACAAAAATAGGGAAAAAAGGGTTCAAAAGTTAGATATATTCCGAGTTGAAGCACGCGACCAAACAAATGAGTTGCAAGTGTAGGCGATTTGGGAAATGCTTTTGGTGAAAAGTATTGCCTATGTTTTGGGGCACAATCGAAGAATCCCAAGTTCCTATTCGATATTCAGATATATATTTTTAAAGTTGTGGCAAAAAAAGGATTATGTTATGACCAAAAATCGGAAATATGACTTTTGGCAAATATTCGATATTTTCCATGGGGATTTTCCTCATAACTACCAAAAAAATGATCAAAAAGATAAAAGACAGTTTTGAGCAGCTCATTACCGATGCTAAGCATCTCTGTTACTTGTAGATCGTTTTTTTTAAATCAGAATTTAAGAACATCATTTTTCGATACCCATCTAACTTTGTATTATTATATATTTCGCACCTGACAATTTAATTGGTTTGACATAAAGACTTATGAATAATACGGAGCTGTAGAATATTAGAGATTTGAAAACGAATAAAAAATAATGGTATTATTGTATTTCAAATGGTATACAAATTGATGGAGCTCGTTGCTTAAAATCACTTACCGCGGTATGCCCAAGACATAAGTCTATCATACTTCTATTAATGGGTACCTTTTATGATTGATTTGCAATGGATCCTCCGACTTCCGATCCGGCTTCAAAGTAGAGCTGAATCTAAGGTTAAACCTCCTTCCCATGATACTGATTAGGCTTGGATTGCGCCACGGTAAGAGTCCTCTGGCATCGAGTTGTCCACCTCCTGGCACGCCATTAACCGGCCGTTGCCATGACAAATGATGCAAATTTAATTGGGCAAAGGCATCGGGAAGCGGGCATCAGTTTGCCAAAGAAGATGGTCATGCGAAATGTGAGCAAAATTGAGAGCCGAGGCGCTTGTCCTTTGATATTTAATATGTTTAAATATGCGAAGTCCTTCGAGCATGTCAGCAAAAAGGACCCTGCTGGACACACACACTTGCACCCATGCACACATACGCACACAACACCCATAAGCGCAATGTGTGTGTTCCGGCATGAGTGGAAACATCAGCAAAAGTCCAAAGCGAAATTCATTCAAACGAATCGAAATGAAACGAATTCAATTGATGACGACGACGAAGCTGGAATAATGCCAATGAAGAGTAAAGTAGATCGATAGATAGCCCAAGCTCACACACACACACACACACACATGCCTATAATGTGTGACGAGGGGTTGGGGGAAGGAAGTGGTGGCAGGTCCTACACAAAAGAAAATCTATCCATACATTTATTCAAACCTATTGGGTTACGAAAACTATGAATGCTAGAAAACATATGCTAGGAATAAACCAAAAAAAGCACTTCATAGCCTTATCATTCACATTCAGAACGGGTTAAGCATTTAACTTAGCTAAATAGTAATAATCGACTATCCCATAAGACGTAACTGCAGCAAAAGGCTGCTCAGTACTTTGTTATGCAACGTGAAGAGGAGACGTTTGCTTACACAAGTATTTATAGTTTGATAAAAAATCCAGTTCTCAAGTGAAGGAAAGCTGCCACATTTGGCAAGAAGATGGTCTTTAGGCATCTCGGCGTTTCGGTTTTCATTGTTCTCCGTGTAGCGACGGGGTTGACTAGAGATCGTAATGCAAACTGTCAGAATGCGTAACTCAATTTACAATTTTCCCTTTTCCTTTTCTTCAGCGCAACAAAAGAAAAGCAGTGGGCGGGCAGTGGGATGGGGGCTAGGCTGAATTAAAAGAAAATGGAAAATGCTAAAAAAGCGAGGAGAAAACAGCAGAGAGAGCCAGCCATCCTGGACGGCCAAACGGACATCGTCGATGTCCTTGCTTCAGGGTTGAGCTCGCTGCGTCCCTCTCTCGCGCGCTTTCTCCACCACCCCGATCCGACTTTCTCCCTTTCTCCGTGATAAAGACACCCAAGTGTGCGTGGCGTGTGTCAGGCCGAACCAATGTGTGTGTGTATGTGTGTGGGAGGGGAAGTTGTGTGGGTGGTCAGCGATGGACAGTCTTTTTGTTTCGCACGAATCCTTTCGACAAAAAAATATGAAAAAAACGCAACACAACAAAAACGAAAGTGAACAAAAATGTAACAAAATCAGTGGGTGTGGCAGGGGAAAAGGCAGGGCGAAGAGGAAGGGGTTGAGAAAGTGCAAAGAGGGGGGAGGTAGGTGGATGTGCAAAAAGAATGAAAAGTACTATACATACACGGTACAGTAATACCTTGACACATAGGCAGCCAAAGTCGGTGGACTAAGCAATCGTGAAATTTTAGATTGCGGCCATTAACTTCATTCGAAAATAGTCCTTTCGAAAGGAACTAATTTCAGAACAGTATTTTTAGAACTCTCAAAACCAAGCGAATTATTGTTATTCCCTTGAAACGTCAGTTATCTGACAATTTGGCCAGATGCTAGTATTTATCCATACTTCAATGCCCCTATTTGTACGATCGTGCATAAAACTCAAAGAGACCTTATTCCACGTCGACAGGCGCAGTGTTCACTGTACACGCAAATCGTACAATCTTCGCTTGGACAATTGGCTATGACTTTCTGAACACCGCCTCCGCCGAGCTGAACCTTAAAAAGGCTTTCTACCCTGCCTACCCCGTTTTCTGTTTTCTTTTTTCCTTCTTTATTTTTTTGCGATGTTTTCCAAGCGTGCAGAAAAGCTGACCAGCACAAAAAAAGGAGAACGGATGCGGAGCAAGGAATGAAGGAGCGAGGGCAAGCAAACGCACAAAATTATATAGAAAGTATACAAAACAACAACACAGGAACAAACATAAAAAACGAGCGAAAATCTCTAAAGGAAAAGCGCTTAGGCGGAGGTGGGTGAAAGTGCCCAAAAGGGTTACCAAAAATTGCGTCGGCAAAATAAAAAAAAAGTAAAAGAAATGTAAAGAAAAATACGAAATCACCCCCTTCGGCCAGGCTTACGTGCTTACAGTTATTACCATGATAAGGTGGACAGATTGTCCTGGGAGGGGCAGTGCCAAGTGTCCGGGTGGTTAGCTGGTGGCATGCAACGGTCCCGCTTTTCCGGGAAACCCACGCACCACGCTCCACGGACCACGAATCACGGGCTTATCTGGCTCGTCCGGAAATGAGTTGTGCCAAAAACGCAGGCTGCAAGTTTATGGCGGCATGCGATTAAGGGTGTTCAAGTGGGTTTATGTCCATCAGAAATGGTATTCGCACCTCACAGAACTATTCAGACGGGCATTGGGCACTCATTGTAATTAGCCGTTGCTAAGAGATCCTAATGCCCCCGAGCAAAATAAGTAAAATCACATAAAGTGAAAGTTGTCCTCTCTTGGTACAATAATCAGTTCCACTTACGCCAAATGTCAAGGGGTATAAATATAACATTCGCGGAATATTATGTAACTGGTCGATCTGGTTATGTTCCTCCGTCTGTCCATATAAGCAATAATAGCTATATGCAGATCAAGTTTATTTTAAAACGATAGCACGCCCCCATAAAAGACCATATTGCTAGTATTTCTGCCGCCCAAATGCTTTTAGTTTACCTTTAGTTCAAATCGAGAAATTACAAAGTTATTTAAGGTCAACTAAAAGTTCGTTGATTATCTTAAGAAGTTTTCAATCTTATGGTAACGAACTCATCTTCTACGATAAGAATATTTGTTATCATCTTAAATCATAATTACAATTTATTTTGGAAAATACTACACATCGTTTTTTGTTCTATTCCAGATGACATTTTATTTAGGAAACACGTTACTAGTATTTGAAAAAGCATATATGTTTTTATCGGCATATTTTATGCCATTTCAGTATCCGACTATTTAGGCTGTTTAATTTCAGATTACATTTTACTTTGGCAACATATTACACATAACTTTTGAAATCGTTTCATGTTCGCTGGGGCAAAAGGAGTGCTCTGCTCTATTCCCAGTTGATTGCCACCAAGCCGCCCGGGGATATAAACACACACCCCACTCCACTGCGCTGCACCCCAATCCAGGAATCCCCGAATCCTGGTGCTCCTGGTGCTCCTTAAGCCGGTTCCTGATTTGGCAGCCACGCTAATTTCCAAAAGCCTTGGCCGACGGCGCTTATGAGCTCTGGACCCATGAAGTTCGCATTACGTATGTAAAATAGTGCAGAAACCCCCCAAACGAACCCAAACCCAAACCCAAACTCAAACTCAAGGTCCCAAGCCCTTGGACACAACTTACGCACTTTACATACAGCGCGGGGAGGGGGAGGGGCAGTGGAGGGTGGGTGGCAGGAGGCTGGGCAATGTCCTTTATTGTAAGTTAAGTTGCTGCCCATGTGTGTGTGTGTGTGTGTGCGTATGTGTGCGGGGTGGCCTACGGCTTGCCACTCGCCTTTCTGCGTCCGTTTCATATGTGTGTTTGAAATTTAAAATGCTCTGTGGAAATTGGTTTAGCCATGTACATGTGTATGTATGTCTGTATGTGCCCAGTGTGCATGTGTGCGTGTGTGTGCTGAGGGGGTGAGACTATACACACACAAAAATGTCAGGTAGGTGTGTATGTGGCCATTGGCTTTCCTACATAAACATAACAAAAATATAGCCAAATATGCCACACTCGACTGGAGATTCTCAATTGTAAACTACGCGACGTACATACATACATGTGTATATACATACATATATGGAAATTGCCCACGATGCGAAATTGTGTGTTTTAATATTAAATTTATTTACTTTGTGTACAGTAATTTGCAGGAAATTCACGTTCTTAAAGTCCAAAGTAACAGAGATTTCAGAATTTTATGCAGCTGCTGTAACATATATTATGTTATTATTATTCCTAACCAACTTTTTGGTTGCAAGTTTGATGCAACTTAAATTGGGCAAAGAAATAACATGCGAAGAATCAACTTAATTGCAGAAACAATTTATAGTATTTTTGGTAGCAGAGGTTTCCTAAAATGTGACCAAGTCAGGTGCTGCCGGTTTTGCCCCACTGTGCGGCGAGCGTGCCCTGGGCGATTGTTGTTGCTGGTTGCGTCTGATAGTGGAGCGGATAGTTTGGTTGGCCATAAATTGTGAGGCGTCCTTTGTAGTTTGCAACCGCATCCCCATTTCACCGGGCATGCTTGTACATACATAATGGGCAAGTCGGCGACACACTTCGAAAGGATTAAATTCTGTTTTAGTAATTAAGTTGAAATTTATAATCAAGGCGAGGGTGGACCAGTTATGTACAGGCCCATCGACATATTCTAGTTTAGCCAACTTCTGGTCATGCGTATGCGTGCTTCTGAGCTACTTTGTCTTGGCCAAAGTAGTTTCCACGTTCTGCTGCTGCTGCTGCTGCTGCTGCTGCTGCCGCTGCTGCGACCACAGACAAACAAATGTGGAAAGTGGAAAATGGAAAATAGAGGATGGGGCATGGGGAAGCCCTGCGGCATCTACGACTCTGAAGTGAAAGTTTTCGCCAGCTTTTTTCTGGTAACTTTGGCATTCGCACGCCTCAGCGCATTCGCAATCCGAGTTCAAATCCATAGCATACTTTTGCGGGCGGCATGTTTAATTTATGACCGAACAGCATCCCACAAGCACATGTGTGTGTTTGTGTGTGTGTGTGTGTGTGTGCATGCAGATGTGTGTGTGTAGTTTTCTTTTCGCTTTTTAAGCTGGACCCAGTGACTTAGTTCCCACAGCGAAGCGGGATATTTGGGTTAAAGTCCTGCCCAGAAATGCAAAATCTCGGCGAAATTTTCGTTTTTATTTATTTATTTTTATTCTTCAGCCTGGAAGTGACAAGCGGAGGCGACATTAATGCACTGCGAAAAACACCGAGTGCTTGACATCATTAATCGATGCTTTGCAAATAAATATCATAGATACAGAATGAAAATGTTACTACCACTGTTTAAACTCCCATTCAACTTATTGATGCCATCTTTATATATTTATGAATGCTTATTTTTATGCATTCAATAATTTTATTTATTTGATGATCTGTTGGAACCCAATTATGTTTGTATTAGCAATGAGACAGTTTTCGCTTTGTTCTCTTTTCATGTGCCTGGGCAACAATTTCGTATTCGCCTGTGGCCATTTCCCGACCTTTTTTCTGAGTGCACTGGTCCTGGCCAGAAATCAAGCTCTTCGAAACACCACCCACCACCCCACCAGATGGGGTGGACTAAAAGGGTTGTCTTGTCCTTGGCCGCCTGTGACGGGCAGCGAAAGTTTACAGAAGAAAATCATTTGATAAGAAGGACGGAGATAGGAGAGAGCAAGAGAGGAGACAGCTCGGACACAATTTCCTACTTAAAAAAAGAAAATCGAAAGGGGGCATCTGGTCTGTCAACTACATAACATTGCGAATGAAAATTCGGGGGAAAATTTCCCTTCGTTTTTTCTGCGCTTTGGGTCGTTTTTTCTTTTTAGACACAGATACTCAGATACATATAAACATGTATACAATTGGGTTTTTATGTAATTTATCATTTTCCTACTGGCGATTTCTGCTCTGCAGTCGCTCAAAATTCTTCTTCGAGGGATTTGACCACCAAGTCATATGTGAAATATGAAGTTTGAATAGGAAACATGGAGCTGCAAAGGGGGAGGAATTACAATACATAGATATATGCATGTGTCTGGTCCTAATTTTAATGATATATGCGTATGCAGGAGCAGGAAGACGAGTTTGCCATGCTTTTATGTACTTTGCTTTCCCTCAGCGGCTCAGATTCAACGGAAAATGCTAATGGTAAGTGCTGGAAAAACATGCTAAATTTTGATCGATTGAAGAGGGTGCTGATATGATTAAAACCATATATTATATCGATACTGAATTGAGCTAATCAAGCAATGGGAATTAAGTGACAGAGGAATTCGGCTATATTTAGCAAAAAAATCTACATAACTCGACGTGAAATCGTGGAAACTTCCATTGCAGGCACATATGTACATTTGCACAAAGTTGCACTTCAATAGGCACATCTTAATGCACAATATACAACAAGTTTACACATGCACATACAACCACTATTGTGCAATATGCTATATTCATGCATACATATGCAATTTCTATGTGAACGCAGAAGTGAAGAGAATTTTGGCATGTTTTGAAAGTCAGAAATGGTACCTTTCCCAACTGGCGACAGTATATATTTAGGTGTAATCAAAATGTTCCCAACTCCTTCTTCTGCAGGTGTCCCAAATGGACTTTGCTCCGGAAGGGACTGCGCCTCACAAGTCCTCGTCCCACTCGTCCGCGCCGGACAACCTCTCGTTTCGTATGTTTAAGATCTGGCGGATCTGCTCGGTAGACTTTCCCCTGATCATGTTAGCCACCGTCTTGGAGGAGAGATCCATCAGGTCCGTGATCTCCAGATAATTGGCAGCCAAGATCAACTCGAACAAGGTGCCTCGATCGACATTCATGAAGTTGGCGTCCCAGGGGGAGATGTCATCGGAGCACCCCTGGCTCTCCTCGTCATTCGACGTTAGCTGGGGGTCGTCCTTGTGGTGATGAGCCCAGGCCAGAATCTTGTCAAGGATGAACGAGCCCACATTGGGCAGCGGCACAATGTCATCCTCGTCGTTCTCCACGGCGGCGATCTCCAGCAGAGTCTTGATGGTTTTGGAGAGCGAGGCGGCCTGGACGGTCGTCTGAAAGATGACCCCATCCGAAGACTGCAGCTTGATGGTGGGTACTGACATTTCTGGTTCTCGCTTTTTTCGCTTTATCGCTTTTCTCGCTTTATCGCTTTTCTCGCTTTTTCCAAGTCTCTCAAGTCTATGCCAAGTAGAATTGAAAGTTCAAAGAGGAAGGAATAGAGAACAGAGTGACCAGATGCGATCACTGCGAAAACACTGTCGTCAAATGTTCACACACTAGAAATTAATTCAAGAACTGTTAATTCGCTTAAGCTTTCTAATATATTTAATATATATAATATTTATTCCTGAGTAGCAGAGCTTTTCTAAGAGTGTATTATGAAGTATAATACCTATATGAATACTGGCTAATTGCTCAATATAAAATTTAAAAATTATAGCTGAAGAAAGATCCCTGTAAGAGATAACAGAGTGTCTTTGCAGAGGAAAAATGTATTACATTAACTGAATAATAACAGATAGAAAAAATGAATACTAAATATTCGGCCAAATTACACTTTTTATTAAAGCTAGGACTCCTTATTTTGACTTTGGTTTCTAAAGCATTAACAATAGTTTTGTATACTAAATAAATGTATGCATATCAAATACAGAAACTCCTCTGAGATTGAAGGTTTGCGTTGTATTTCAAAAGAAAATAGTTTCTTAGGATAATATGCTCATACTGAACAAATTTACGTTGAAATCAAGGTGTTGCATGAAGAATTTTGATTGTGCAGCACTATAGCTAGCTTAAGTACTGAGCCTTAATGCCAATTACGGATGCAATTCGGCCGAAAGAGTGCCAGTTTTGGATAGCTAATAGTTCCACCTTATGATTGACGTAGAACAGGATGACGGACTCTGGCAGCACAGGATTCCCAGAGGAGCAATTTCTGGCCTGTTTTTGAAGTCCGATCAAATCGCTTGAGCTCAAAACGCTGGCATCCGCAAATGTTTTCAATTTCCCAAATGTATTCCAAGTTTTTCCCCGCCCAGCGTCCTTCGTCCTTCAAAATCGACGGGTGCATGGCCAGAACTTTGATCTCTGTATTATTCAATATATTGAAATTTGAAGCGTAGATGTCTGGCTGTATTGGCCGGGAATTGCCAGCAGCTGCCGACTGCGAAGGACGAAGGACATCCAATGACTTGTGACTGACGGAGACGGGTGTGTGTGTGTGGGGGTGGGGAGATAATAGGGGGGTGTGTGTGAGTTCGGCCGTGCCAAACGCACACATACGCATGAATTTTTTACACAGGACTCGGGGAGCTTTCTCGTTTCCTGTTTTCGCAATTCGCATTATTTTCTTTTTTTTTTTTGAATTTTTTACTGGACGCCAGGACTTACGTGCGATTACGTTCTTTAGCTCGTGCCACATGTGTCTGTGTGGCTGCGAGTGTGTGTGCGTTACTACCCCCATTTGACTTTCACTTGCGTCTGGACGAGCCGTTTGCCCCCTTTTTTCCGTTTTCACTCGCTTTCACTTTGCCCGCTGGCCAAAAATAACGAAAGTGTGAAACGTTTTGTCTGTCCCTCTATTTGGTTTATTTGACAACATTTCTGCGTGCCTCTGCGTGTGTGTGCATGTTATTTATGCCAATATACATATGTATGTATGTGCGGCCTTTAAATTTTTCATTCACTTTTCCGCCCAGAGTGTTCCTTGTGCTTCTACGCAGATCAATGGATGTTTTAGCTTTGAACGCTGCCCAACAGATGGCGTCACAGCCTAATTAAACGAATGCAAAAGAAGGTGGAAGGAAGGGGTTCGCTCTACCCTTTGATACCAACTGTACCTTCTGGCGCTTCGAGGCTTTCTCTCTGTTTTTGGTTGGAATTTCTCGCGCTGCGCATTAGCCGAAAATGACATTGAAATATTACAAAATTTAAAAACCATTAGAAGCAGACCCCATCAATCTGTCGCATTCGCTCGCGCTATTTACCTCTTATATATGTATGTATATGCATATATATTCATCCTTTTCGAAGGAAGAGCGAAAATCTTAGCACCGAAATTGCGAGGCAAATCAAATAGTACAACAGCAACAACAATAGAAAATCATCTAGAAAAAAGAATAAATAAATAAAGAAAAATCAACCACTTTTCCACTTTTTGTTTTGTCCTCGCCGACGGTTGGTTGGTCCACAACCGAGTGACCTGAGTGGGCGGGGATCCTCCCGTTTTCTGGTGGCTGTGTACTACCAATTTGCTAGTGACCATAATCAACCCCTTTTTATTTGGCCCGAGCTTTTTTCCACTCGCCTTTTGTGCATGCAAAAAAGTAAAAAAAACCAAAATCGTGCGTAAGGAGGAAAAAGCGCGTAAGAAAAACGGTGGCTTGGGGGAAAATCGGCTGCAGGGGCGTCATTTACGAGGGGATCTAAGTTAAGTTTGCGATCGGTCCACATTCATATGACCTACCATGGATTGTATTCTTGACCTCGAATCGTCAGTCAGCATAGTAAGCTATGTTATTTAGCAAATATTATCCATCCGCCCAGTTGCTTGCGGTCCTGGCTACATTTTAAAGTAGTATTTCAGTTGTTAAGGGGTTTATTTAATTACAATTATAATTAGTTACCATATGCTTACCAAAAGAGTACAAGTTTAAGCAATCTAGTGAGCTTCAATCCAACCAAAACCGGCCTGTCCGCCTACGCACGTGGCATTCATCAAAGAGTCCTGCGCTCATGCATATTCAAATGTTGCCGGGTAAGGAATCACAGCAACGAAAATCAAGCCGACGCACTTTGGGGCAGCGCCCACAACTCCGAGCTCCCAAAAAAATTCTTAAAGGCCATAAAGCGCGACAAATACAAAATAAAAAAAATGAAACAAAAAACCAAAAAACCAAAAAAGGGTAAAAACGATGAAAAAGAAGAGACGCGAAGAAGGAGCAAAGTACGCACAAAGTTTTGACAGCCGAATTGGCATAATGATGGGGTTAGTGACGCCCATGGAGGGGGCTTAAAGGGGGCGGAGTGGGGGTGGGCCGATCTCCTGCCCATGGACTCACCGCATTGTCACTGACTTGGCCAACCTCCATCTTCTTTAGCCGCAATGCAGATGGCCCATCGTCTAGCTCCTTTGACCATCTCAGCTTTTTATTTTTGGCCCCTTTTTCAGTACTTTGGGCATCTCGCCATCATCGTTAATTTTATCTACGCAAATGCAAAATAATTACTTTACTTTTTCTTTGGTTTTTTCACAACAGCCGCCGCTGCCCAACCCCCTTTTTTTACCCCTTTTTCGGGACAACGGCTGTCGAAATTTATGTACTTTGCTTTCCATTTTTCTGCTGCTTTTTTTCGGTGCGTTCGGGTTCGTTTTCTCTTTTTTTTTGGTTTTTGTATTGAAAAGCATTTTAAAATCCAGCGCCAGCTGTCCTATCATGGCCTTCGTCCTGCCTTCTTCGTCCTTCGTCCTTGCCCATCATCTTCCTATTTCTCGGCTTCTTCTTGCAGGTTCCCCTCCTCTACTCCAACCCCCCTTCCCCCCACACTCGCCTTTTTTCCGTTCGTTTTCTGTGTTTTTTAATTAAACAAAAGGGTTAAAAAGTTTCGCTAAAGGACGAGATAAATCTATGCCGCGAGGAGGGAAAGAAAAAGGACTAAGGACCTGGGGAGGGGGGGTATAAAAAATCGAAAAGAGCGTAATGGGGGTAAAATCACATTTTTGCCCCCTACCTCTCACTTTCTATTTAGTTTTCATTTATTTTTAAAAGGAAAATTTTAATAACCAGGGCTCGGCCCATTGAAAAAGTTTGGTTGGGGGTTGATCTATGTAGCGCGCACCGACTGAAATTACATTTATGTAATTTTTACATTTTTCCAGCTATATACGGGTACATATATATTTTTTGGATGGACATTTTATTGGGGGATGGAGCATATTGGGGGTGGCCAACCCCTTTTGCCAATGTCCGGTTTTTCCCGTTTTCACTTTCACTAGACTCGTGTGTTTATCTCTCGGATTTTCACTTGAATTGTTAACTGAAGAAATGGGTACATTGCACAAACCTTTCATTTGGTTAATTTGCCTTTTGCCTTTGAAGTGTAAATAGTTGGCGATTCTGGCAAACTTGGCAATTCGAAGTCAGTTGGGTCAATTCGGGGTCAATTTAGGGTTCCATGAAAGTTGCCTGTAACAAAAAAATGGATATCGAAATAAGTAGCAGCATGAAAGGGATTTTTCAAGTATCTAAGATCAATTCCCTAAAACAATATATCATTTTTCTCACTGAGTGTAAAAGGGTTTAAAATCGCGTAATTTGGTTTTTTTCTTTTATCGCGTTGAAAAGGTGAGCAAATCAAAATTTCGTGGTTTCCTGAAAGTCATAATCCATTATAACAACCCCAAATTTTAATTTAAATTCACTTTTTTTTCAAAAATACATTTGTCGTCGTATTTTACCCGCTTCCATGGGAAAGATTTCCGTTCAACCCCTACAAAAACATATCTAATAGTTTATGCAGAGCAGTCAATTAAAAATTTGAATTTTTAAGTTTTTATTAACAAGGTGAAAGCCATTTTATTTCGATATCACCACAACTTCGGCATTCTGGTTTCGAAACAAGATAAGATCCATTTGGAATTTTGAGTTCTTAAGTAAATTTTAATGAGGAACCAAAAAACATTACTACCATTAATTGTGGAAAATAAAATTCCCTAAGAAGCAGCACATATACATAAAAATAATTGAATTCCCATGTCTTAAAAAGTTTAAAAGAAACGGTCGTGAGTCTATAGGGAATTTATGATTTATATACATCAAGTTCATTTTGTTACGATTGACTATTTCTGATTCCTCCCTTCCGAAATCGAAAATGTAATGCTTAAACGGATTCCATGTTAAAAGTGCTGCACGTATGTATCATAACCTTACCTAAGGATCTTCTAATGAAAAACTCTAAAACTGCAAAAGGAGGTAATGGCGCAGGGGATGGTTGGGTTTCCTTATGTGGTTCCTTGGCATCCATTCCTGCTCCCATTTCCATTTCCATCGCCAATCCCAAGCCCAATTCCGGCCACAATCCCCAGACAGATTCTCGGCTCGTTAGGGCCAGTAGCAACAAGTTTCGTAACACTCCCATTAGCCAAGAAGCCCCTTCCGCACCACACATGGCCAAATTTAAACTCACATGAAGTCGCATTTATTTTTATTCAATTTGATAATAACCCCA